TGTGCGCAGGGTTCAGTAGTGTGACGTGTCTCTTGTGTGCGCAGGGTTCAGTAGTGTGACGTGTCTCTTGTGTGCGCAGGGTTCAGTAGTGTGACGTGTCTCTTGTGTGCGCAGGGTTCAGTAGTGTGACGTGTCTCTTGTGTGCGCAGGGTTCAGTAGTGTGACGTGTCTCTTGTGTGCGCAGGGTTCAGCGTGTCTCTTGTGTGCGCAGGGTTCAGTAGTGTGACGTGTCTCTTGTGTGCGCAGGGTTCAGTAGTGTGACGTGTCTCTTGTGTGCGCAGGGTTCAGTAGTGTGACGTGTCTCTTGTGTGCGCAGCAGGTGTTCAGTAGTAGTGTGACGTGTCTTGTGTGCGCAGGGTTCAGTGTGTGTGACGTGTCTCTTGTGTGGCAGGGTTCAGTAGTGTGACGTGTGTCTCTCTTGTGTGCGCAGGGTTCAGTAGTGTGACGTTCTCTGTGTGCGCAGGGTTCAGTAGTGTGACTCTTGTGTGCGCAGGGTGTTCTCTTGTGTGCGCAGGGTAGTAGTGTGACGTGTTCTTTGTGTGCGCAGGGTTTCAGTAGTGTGACGTGTCTCTTGTGTGCGCAGGGTTCAGTAGTGTGACGCGGGTCTTGTGTGTTCAGGGTTCAGTAGTGTGACGTGTCTCTTGTGTGCGCAGGGTTCGTAGTAGTGTGACGTGTTCTCTTGTGTGCGCAGGGTTCAGTAGTGTGACGTGTCTCTTGTGTGCGCAGGGTTCAGTAGTGTTGCGTGTCTCTTGTGTACTTGTGTGCGCAGGGTTCAGTAGTGTGACGTGTCTCTGTGTGGGGTTCAGTAGTGTGACGTGTCGTAGTGTGAGTCTCTGTGTGTACAGGTTCAGTAGTGTGACGTGTCTCTTGTGTGCCGCAGGGTCAGGGTTCAGTGTGTGACGTGTCTCTTGTGTGCGCAGGGTCTGACGTGTCTCTTGTGTGCGCAGGGTTCAGTAGTGTGACGTGTCTCTTGTGTGCGCAGGGTTCAGTAGTGTGACATGTCTCTTGTGTGTACAGGGGTCAGTAGTGTGACGTGTCTCTTGTGTGCGCAGGGTTCAGTAGTGTGACGTGTCTCTTGTGTGCGCAGGGTTCAGTAGTGTGACGTGTCTCTTGTGTGCGCAGGGTTCAGTAGTGTGACGTGTCTCTTGTGTGCGCAGGGTTCAGTAGTGTGACGTGTCTCTTGTGTGCGCAGGGTTCAGTAGTGTGACGTGTCTCTTGTGTGCGCAGGGTTCAGTAGTGTGACGTGTCTCTTGTGTGCGCAGGGTTCAGTAGTGTGACGTGTCTCTTGTGTGCGCAGGGTTCAGTAGTGTGACGTGTCTCTTGTGTGCGCAGGGTTCAGTAGTGTGACGTGTCTCTTGTGTGCGCAGGATCTCTGAAGGCACCAACACGTCTCACTTGGACAAACTTCAGCGCGGCTACGAGAACATGGATCATTTCACCACAAACTTCGAACGACAGAGAAGAGCTCTGTCCAACATCACCTTCAACAGATGTGAGAGCGCCTGGCCCCGACACACACAGCCCCGTACACACCACTCACACAGCCCTCTACACACACTCACAGCCCCGTACACACACAGAGAGAAGAGCTCTGTCCAACATCACCTTCAACAGATGTGAGAGCGCCTGGCCCCGACACACACAGCCCCTACACACACACACAGCCCCGTACACACACTCACAGCCCAGTACACACACAGCCCCTCAGACACACACTCACAGTCCTGTACACACACACGGAGACCCGTACACACACTCACAGACCCGTACACACACACTCACAGCCCCGTACACACACACACACAGCCACTCACACACTCACAGCCCCGTACACACACACTCCCAGCCCCGTACACACACTCACAGCCTCGTACACACACACTCACAGCCCCGTACACACACACACACAGCCCCGTACACACACTCACAGAGAGACATTAAACTCTCTCGTGTTTGTTTCAGACGATGACGACAGCGACGACGAGGACGAGGAGGCGGAGCTCAGATCTGCAACAGGAAGTCGAGCCGAGACGCTTCCTGTGGCGGCGGCCGGCCCCTCCCCCTCCACGCCGGCCCCGCCCACCGCGTCCCCTATGCCCCCCGCCCCCCCCGCCGTGTCCCCCCACCCTCCCGTCGCCCCGCCCACATCTCCTCCGGTCGCACCGCCTATGTCTCCTTCACTAGCCCCGCCCACGTCTCCTTCACTAGCCCCGCCCACATCTCCTTCCCTGGCTCCTTCGTTGCCTCCTCCGCTGCTTCCTGCCGTGCCTCCCGTCTCCTTCCCTCCTTTACCGTCGCAGAGAGCTGCAGAGGCCACGCCCACCCCGACACGGAGCCACGCCCCCTCCGCCGCAGGAACCGCCCCCTCAGGCCCCGCCCCCTCGGTAAAACGCTCACACGACCCCATCACACAAAAACCCGCACAAAAACGACGACGTCAATCGTTTGTGATGTAAAGTCTTACGGTACGATATTTATTGCGATATATACATCTCACTCTACGATATTTTCATNCATACACACTAGTGTGAACGGACCGCTCACATACACACTAGTGTGAACCACTCACATACACACTAGTGTGAACCAACACTCACATACACACTAGTGTGAACCAACCACTCACATACACACTAGTGTGAACCAACCACTCACATACAACAACCACCACTCACATACACACTAGTGTGAACCAACCACTCACATACACACTAGTGTGAACCACCCACTCACATACACACTAGTGTGAACCAACCGCTCACATACACACTAGTGTGAACCAACCACTCACATACACACTAGTGTGAACCAACAGTGTCACCATACACACACTAGTGTGACCACCCACTTCACATACACACTAGTGTGAACCACCACTCACATACACACTAGTGTGAACCACCCACTCACATACACACTAGTGTGAACCAACACTCACATACACACTAGTGTGAACGGGGCCTCAGAGGCTCATGCACATCTTCACATCATAAAAGACGTGTGTGTAAATCCCCACAGATCGACGAGGTTCTAAAGTTTTGGTCTGAACTTATTTTTCTTGTTTACAGGAGGCCAAACCCCTGCTGCAGAAGTGAGTCCTGATCACACACGACGAGTCCTGATCACGAGTCACACACGACGACGAGATCCTTGATCACACACGATCCACACGAGTCCTGATCACACACGAGTCCTGATCACACACGACGAGCCCTGATCACACACGACGAGCCCTGATCACACACGACGATCCTGATCACACACGACGAGTCCTGATCACACACGACGAGCCCTGATCACACACGAGTCCTGATCACACACGACGAGCCCTGATCACACACGAGTCCTGATCACACACGACGAGTCCTGATCACACACGACGAGTCCTGATCACACACGACGAGCCCTGATCACACACGAGTCCTGATCACACACGACAGATCCTGATCCTACACGACGAGCCCTGATCGACATCACACACGATCCTGATCACACACGACGAGTCCTGATCACACACGACGAGCCCTGATCACACACGACGAGTCCTGATCACACACACGAGTCCTGAACACCCGAGTCCTGATCACACACGACACGACCCTGATCACACACGAGTCCTGATCACACACGACGAGCCCTGATGATCCTGATCACACACGAGTCCTGATCACACACGACGAGCCCTGATCACACACGACAAGTCCTGATCACACACGAGTCCTGATCACACACGACGAGTCCTGATCACACACGACGAGTCCTGATCACACGACAGCCCTGATCACACACGAGTCCTGATCACACACGACGAGTCCTGATCACACACGAGTCCTGATCACACACGACGAGTCCTGATCACACACGACGAGCCCTGATCACACACACGAGATCCTGATCACACACGAGTCCTGATCATCCTGATCACACACGACGAGTCCTGATCACACACACGACGACGAGCCCTGATCACACACGACGACGACCCTGATCACACACGACGAGTCCTGATCACACACGACGATGATCCTGATCACACACGATCGACACACGAGTCCTGATCACACACGACGAGTCCATGACACGACTGACGACACTGATCACACACGAGTCCTGATCACACACGACGAGTCCTGATCACACACGACGAGTCCTGATCACACACAAAATAATTCAAACATGTTTTTTCAGAGTTAAAAAATTCAAAGTGAGAATTTCAGCGGCGTTTAAATTCAGAATCTGATGGAGCAAATGTTGTTCTGTAGTGTGACGTGTCTCTTGTGTGCGCAGGGTTCAGTAGTGTGACGTGTCTTGTGTGTGTGCAGGGTTCAGTGTGTGACGTGTGTCTTGTGTGTACAGGGTTCAGTAGTGTGACGTGTCTCTTGTGTGTACAGGGTTCAGTAGTGTGATGTGTCTCTTGTGTGCGCAGGGTTCAGTAGTGTGACGCGTCTCCCTTGTAGTGTGACGTGTCTCTTGTGTGCGCAGGGTTCAGTACGTGTGTGAGGGTTCGTGTGTCTCTCTTGTGTGTGCAGGGTTCAGTAGTGTGACGTGTGTCTTGTGTGTACAGGGTTCAGTAGTGTGACGTGTCTCTTGTGTGTACAGGGTTCAGTAGTGTGACGTGTTCTGTGGTCTGTGTGTGTAGTGTGACGTGTCTCTTGTGTGCGCAGGGTTCAGTAGTGTGATGTGTCGGTTCGGTGTGTGTGCTGTGTGAGTTCAGTAGTGTGACGTGTGTGTGCGCAGGGTTCAGTAGTGTTGACGTGTCTCTTGTGTGCGCAGGTTCAGTGTGTGACGTGTCTCTTGTGTGCGCAGGGTTCAGGGTTCTTGTAGTGTGACGGTTCGTAGTGTGACGGTCTCTTGTGTGTCAGGGTTCTTGTGTGCGCAGGGTTCAGTAGTGTGAGGGTTCGTGTCTCTTGTGTGCGCAGGGTTCAGTAGTGTGACGTGTCTCTTGTGTGCGCAGGGTTCAGTAGTGTGACGTGTCTCGTGTTCGTGGTCGGCAGGGTTCAGTAGTGTGACGTGTCTCTTGTGTGCGGTTCAGGGTTTCAGTAGTGTGACGTGTCTCTTGTGTGCGCAGGGTTCAGGGTTCAGTAGTGTGACGTGTCTCTTGTGTGCGCAGGGTTCAGTAGTGTGACGTGTCTCTTGTGTGCGCAGGGTTCAGTAGTGTGACGTGTCTCTTGTGTGTGCAGGGTTCAGTAGTGTGACGTGTCTCTTGTGTGTGCAGGGTTCAGTAGTGTGACGTGTCTCTTGTGTGCACAGGGTTCAGTAGTGTGACGTGTTCTTGTGTGGCGCAGGTTCAGTAGTGTGACGTGTCTCTTGTGTGCGCAGGGTTCAGTAGTGTGACGTGTCTCTTGTGTGCGGCAGGGTTCAGTAGTGTGACGTGTCTCTTGTGTGCGCAGGGTTCAGTAGTGTGACGTGTCTCTTGTGTGCGCAGGGTTCAGTAGTGTGACGTGTCTCTGTCTCTTGTGTGCGCAGGGTTCAGTTGTAGTGTGACGTGTCTCTTGTGTGCGCAGGGTTCAGTAGTGTGTGACGTGTGTCTCTTGTGTGCAGGGTTCAGTAGTGTGACGTGTCTCTTGTGTGCGCAGGGTTCAGTTAGTGTGACGTGTGTCTCTTGTGTGCGCAGGGTTCAGTAGTGTGACGTGTCTCTTGTGTGCGCAGGGTTCAGTAGTGTGACGTGTCTCTTGTGTGGTGCGCGATCTCTGAAGGCACCAACACGTCTCACTTGGACAAACTTCAGCGCGGCTACGAGAACATGGATCATTTCACCACAAACTTCGAACGACAGAGAAGAGCTCTGTCCAACATCACCTTCAACAGATGTGAGAGCGCCTGGCCCCGACACACACAGCCCCGTACACACACTCACACAGCCCTCTACACACACTCACAGCCCCGTACACACACAGAGAGAAGAGCTCTGTCCAACATCACCTTCAACAGATGTGAGAGCGCCTGGCCCCGACACACACAGACCTCTACACACACACAGCCCCGTACACACACTCACAGCCCCGTACACACACAGCCCCTCAGACACACACTCACAGTCCTGTACACACACACGGAGCCCCGTACACACACACTCACAGACCTGTACACACACTCACAGACCCGTACACACACACTCACAGTCCCGTACACACACACACACAGCCACTCACACACTCACAGCCCCGTACACACACACTCACAGCCCCGTACACACACACTCACAGCCCCGTACACACACACACACAGCCCCGTACACACACAGAGACATTAAACTCTCTCGTGTTTGTTTCAGACGATGACGACAGCGACGACGAGGACGAGGAGGCGGAGCTCAGATCTGCAACAGGAAGTCGAGCCGAGACGCTTCCTGTGGCGGCGGCCGGCCCCTCCCCCTCCACGCCGGCCCCGCCCACCGCGTCCCCTATGCCCCCCGCCCCCCCCCGCCGTGTCCCCCCACCCTCCCGTCGCCCCGCCCACATCTCCTCCGGTCGCACCGCCTATGTCTCCTTCACTAGCCCCGCCCACGTCTCCTTCACTAGCCCCGCCCACATCTCCTTCCCTGGCTCCTTCGTTGCCTCCTCCGCTGCTTCCTGCCGTGCCTCCCGTCTCCTTCCCTCCTTTACCGTCGCAGAGAGCTGCAGAGGCCACGCCCACCCCGACACGGAGCCACGCCCCCTCCGCCGCAGGAACCGCCCCCTCAGGCCCCGCCCCCTCGGTAAAACGCTCACACGACCCCATCACACAAAAACCCGCACAAAAACGACGTCAATCGTTTGTGATGTAAAGTCTTACGGTACGATATTTATTGCGATATACATCTCACTCTACGATATTTTCATGATATATGGTACTGTATATGTCATGATAACGGTACGATATTTTCACGATACACATTTCACGGTATGATATTTATTGTGACATACAGCTCATGGTACGATATTTTCACGATATATGGCATGATATTTTCATGATATACATCTCACAGTACAATCTTTATTGCAATACACATCTCACGGTACGATATTTTCATGATACACATCTAACTATCACGATAACGGTATGGCATTTTCAGAAAACACATCTCACAGTACCATATTTATTGCGATATACAGTTTATGATACTGTATTTTCATGATAACGGTACAATATTTTCACGATACACATTCCGCTGTACGATATTATCACAATATACATCTCACAGTATGATATTTATTGTGATATACATCTTGCGGTACGATATTTTCACGATATAAGGTATGATATTTTCATGATACACATCTCATGGTGCGATATTTATTGTGATATTTTATGGAGGTTAAACAGCTAAAACTGTGAATATTCTTTTTTTTCTTCTTCAAACGTCTTGACAAGTTTTAATCCAAAGAACTGAGAGTTAAAAGTGTCAGAAGTGTCGTCTGCACTGACCTGGAGCAAAGGATCATGGTCTGTGTAGTTCCTCTGTGTTTTTGTAGCTGTTGCTCGTGATTCGATTTATCGTGACGGTCCAATGATATTACATTATATTATATAGATTATTGTTACATCACAAATGAAGACGCACAAATGAAAACAGTCACACACAAAACAACACAAAACAAACACAAAACAAACAAAACAAAGACAAAACAACACAAAACAAAACAAAACAAAACAAAAACAAAACACAAACACAAAACACAAAACAAACAACACAAAACAAACACAAAACAAAACAACACAAAACAAACACAAACACACAACACAAAACAACACAAAACAAACACAAAACAAACACAAAAAAAACACAAACAAACAAAACAAAACAAACAAAACAACAACACAAAACAACACAAAACAAACAAACAAAACAACACAAAACACAAAACACACAAAACACAAACAAACACACAAAAAACACAAAACAAACACAAAACAAACACAAAACAAAACACAAAACAACACAAAACAACACAAAAACAAAACAAAACACAACACACAAAACAAACACAAAACAACACAAAAACAAAACACAAAACAAACACAAACACAAAACACAAACACAACACAAAAAACAAACACAAACACAAAACAACACAAACAAAACAAAACAACAAAACACAAACACAAAACAAACACAAAACAACACAAAACAAACAAAACAAACACAAACACAAAACAACACAAAAACAAAACACAACAAACAACACAAAACAAACACAAAAACACAAAACAAACAACAAAACAACACAAAACAAAACAAAACAAAACAAACACAAAAACAAACACAAAACAAACACAAAACAAACACAACAAACAAAACACACAAACACAACACAAAACAACACAAAACAAACACACAAAACAACACAAAACAAACACAAAACAACACAAAACAAAACAAACAAACACAAACAAAACAAACACAAAACAAAACAAAACAAACAAACAAACACAAAACAAACACAAAACAACACAAAACAAACACAAAACAACAAAACACAAAAAAACAAAACAAACAAAACAACACAAAACAAACACAAAACAAACAAAACAAAACAAACACAAAACAACACAAAACAAACACAAAACAACACAAAACAAACACAAAACAACACAAAACAAACACAAAACAACACAAAAACACAAAAAACAAAACAAACACAAAACACAAACACAAAACAACACAAAACAAACACAAAACAAACACAAAAAAACACAAAAACAAACACAAAACAAACACAAAACAAAACAAAACAACAAAACAACACAAAACAACACAAAACAAAACAAACAAAAACAAAACACAAAACAAACAAAACAAAACACAAAACAACACAAAACAACAAAAACAAACAAAACAAAACAACACACAAAACAAACACAAAACAAACACAAAAAACAAAACACAAAACAAACACAAAAAACAACACAAAACGAAGACAAAACAACACAAAACAAACACAAAACAAACACAAACAACTGACATTTTGTATTGTTTTATTTCATTTGAAGTTTTCTGAAGAAGTGACCCCAGTTTGACCTTTAAAAGAATCAATAATATTTCCAAAACTGAAACAGCCCAAACGAAACTGTGTGTGTGTGTGTGTGTGTGTGTGTTTGTGTGTTGTGTGTGTGTCTGTGTGTTGTGTTTGTGTGTTGTGTGTGTTGTGTGTGTGTGTGTGTGTGTTGTGTGTGTGTGTGTGTGTGTGTGTGTGTGTTTGTGTGTTGTGTGTGTGTGTGTGTGTGTGTGTGTGTGTGTGTGTGTGTTGTGTGTGTGTGTTTGTGTGTGTTGTGTGTGTGTGTGTGTGTGTGTTGTGTGTGTGTGTATTGTGTGTGTGTGTGTTGTGTGTTTTGTTGTGTGTGTGTGTCTGTGTGTGTGTTGTGTTGTGTTGTGTGTGTGTGTGTGTGTGTGTGTGTTGTGTGTGTGTGTGTGTGTGTGTGTGTGTGTGTGTGTGTGTGTGTGTTGTGTGTGTGTGTGTGTGTGTGTGTGTGTGTGTGTGTTTGTGTGTGTGTGTGTGTGTGTGTGTGTGTGTGTTGTGTGTGTTGTTGTGTGTTGTGTGTGTCTGTGTGTTGTGTTTGTGTGTGTGTGTGTGTGTGTGTGTGTGTGTGTGTTGTGTGTGTGTGTTTGTGTGTTTGTGTGTTGTGTGTGTGTGTGTGTGTGTGTTGTGTGTGTGTGTTTGTGTGTTGTGTGTCTATGTGTTGTGTTTGTGTGTTGTGTGTGTGTTTTTGTGTGTGTTTGATTTTCTGGTTTATTTGAAGTTTTGCTGCTGAAGCACGAACCTGAAAAATCGTTGCAATTTTGCATATGAACCAGACAGGTGCAGACAGGTGCAGACAGGTGCAGACAGATGCAGCAGGTGCAGGCAGGTGCAGACAGGTGCAGACAGGTGCAGGCAGGTGAAATCCCTGTTTGGTGAAACTCATGATGTTTCTGATTCCTTCAGGAGCAAAACGACGCAGACGAACCACGACACGTCTTCAGCTTCAGCTGGCTCAACAAGGAGTGACATCATCACTGACATCATCAGTGACGTCATCAGTGACGTCATCACTGACATCATCAGTGACGTCATCACTGACATCATCAGTGACATCATCACTGACATCATCAGTGACGTCATCAGTGACATCATCAGTGACATCATCAGTGACAGTGACATCATCAGTGACATCATCAGTGGGCGTCTCTTGTTTTGTAAAACTTGATTGGTCGTTCTGGTTCTGCACGCGCTCAGAAGCTTCTGCGGTCACCTGCCGCACCTGCCGCACCTGTCTTTGGAGTCAGGCTAACGTTAGCGTGAGCGACGCAGATCCGGTAGAGACTTGGGGGGCGGAGTCTGTGTGAATAAAAGAGTTTGTTTTTTAAACTTCTGCTTCAGAACTTTATTTACAAAACCAAGACCAGGACCAAGACCAAGACCAGACCAAGACCAGGACCAGACCAAGACCAGGACCAGACCAAGACCAGACAAGACCAGACCAAGACCACCAGACCAAGACCAGACCAGACCAAGACCAGGACCAGACCACCAGACCAGACCACCAGACCAGGACCAGACCAAGACCAAGACCAAGACCAGCCAAGACCAGACCAAGACCAGACCAAGACCAGGACCAGACCAAGACCAGGACCAGACCAAGACCAGGACCAAGACCAGGACCAGACCAAGACCAGACCAAGACCAGGACCAGACCAAGACCAGACCAAGACCAGGACCAAGACCAAGACCAGGACCAAGACCAAGACCAGACCAAGACCAGGACCAGACCAGACCAAGACCAGACCAAGACCAGGACCAGACCAGACCAAGACCAGACCAAGACCAAGACCAGACCAGGACCAGACCAAGACCAAGACCAAGACCAGGACCAAGACCAGACCAAGACCAGGACCAGACCAAAGACCAAGACCAGGACCAGACCAAGACCAAGACCAGACCAAGACCAGGACCAGACCAAGACCAAAACCAGACCAAGACCAAGGCCAGACCAAGACCAGGACCAGGACCAAGACCAAGACCAAGACAGACCAAGACCAAGACCAGACCAGACCAAGACCGACCAAGACCAACCAAGACCAGACCAAGACCAAGACCAAGACCAAGACCAGGACAGACCAAGACCAAGACCAAGACCAAGACCAGGACCAGAGACAAGACCAGACCAGGACCAGACCAAGACCAGACAAGACCAGACCAGACCAGACCAGACCAAGACCAAGACCAGACCAAGACCAGACCAGACCAGGACCAGACCAAGACCAGACCAAGACCAAGACCAAGACCAAGACCAAGACCAAGACCAAGACCAGACCAGACCAAGACCAGACCAGACCAGACCAGACCAAGACCAAGACCAGACCAGACCAGACCAGACCAGGACCAGACCAGACCAGACCAAGACCAGGACCAGACCAAGACCAAGACCAGACCAGACCAGGACCAGACCAAGACCAGGACCAGGACCAGACCAAGACCAGACCAAGACCAAGACCAGGACCAAGACCAGGACCAGGACCAGGACCAAGACCAGGACCAGGACCAGGACCAGACCAGGACCAGGACCAGGACCAGGACCAGACCAGGACCAAGACCAAGACCAGGACCAGGACCAAGACCAAGACCAAGACCAAGACCAGACCAGGACCAGGACCAGGACCAGGACCAAGACCAGGACCAGACCAGGACCAGACCAAGACCAGGACCAGGACCAAGACCAAGACCAAGACCAGACCAAGACCAAGACAAGACCAAGACCAGGACCAGACCAGACCAGGACCAGGACCAAGACCAGGACCAGGACCAGGACCAGGACCAGAGATCAGATAGAGGATTAAGACCAGACCTTGGACCACAACCTCCTCTTCTTCTTCTTCTTCTTCTTCTTGTTCTTCTTCTTCTTCTTCTTCTTCTTCTTCTTCTTCTTCTTCACACTGGAGGAAGTTTGTAAAATATGATGGAAATGTTTGACTTGTGGAAAAGTGTTTGAGTTTTTTCAGGTGTTTGTTTTGGGCTGAAGGTTTTGAAAAGTCCATGGATCCAGTTTGTGTCGCCCCCTAGTGTCAAATCACCTGATGAAAAGACAAAAGGTTTTATCTCCACTTCCTTTTCTCTTCACGTCTTCTGTCACTTTTTCTACTTCGTTTGATTCGAGGAAGAAAGTTCTGATTTCTTCTTCTTCTTTTGAGTCCATCTGATGTGAAAATCACATCGAACAAAATGAAAGTGTCACGTTTAAAAGTGACACTCACATGTTCCTCTGTGGTTCTTGGACTCATGTGTTCGGACTCGTGTGTTTGGACTCGTGTGTTTGGAGTCGTGTGTTTGGACTCGTGTGTTCGGACTCGTGTGGTTCGGACTCGTGTGTTCGGACTCGTGTGTTCGGACTCGTGTGTTCGGACTCGTGTGTTTGGACTCGTCGTGTGTTTGGACTCTTCCGTGTGTTTGGACTCGTGTGTTCGGACTCGTGTGTTTGGACTCGTGTGTTCGGACTCGTCCGTGCGTCGGACCAGTGGTTTGTTTCAGTTTCTCTGAAGTTCTCTTCACTTTGGAGAAAAACGTTGTTAAATCTCTGAGTTTAACCTTTAACTCTCGAGTCAAAGATCTAAAGTCACATGTGGAGACCAAAAGGACCATTGTCCAGACTCCAGGGGCCACTCCTGCTGCTACACCCAGAGACAGGAGCCTTCCCTGGGTCAGACGAGTCCAGCCGGGCCCCTGGAGCCCCTCAGGAGCTCTGCCCCCAGGCAGGTCCAGCTGGAGCCTCCACACACGACCAGGAGCACCTCCTGAAGCACCTCCTGAAGCACCTCCTGAAGCACCTCCTGAAACACCTCCTGAAGCTCCTCCTGAAGCTCCTCCTGAAGCAACCTCCTGAAGCTCCTCCTGAAGCTCCTCCTGAAGCTCCTCCTGAAGCTCGTCCTGAAGCTCCTCGTGTTTCTCGTCCCTCTGAGGCGTCTCGTCAGACTGTGGTGACCCTGGACCTTCACATTTTGCTCTGGATTCTAGAAGGTTCTGGTAAAACCCGCTGAGCCTGATGGTAAAACCTGAGGGAACTTCTCCAGAACATTCTGGAACATTTCACCAGAAGCTGTTTGTGATTTCATAAACCTCCAGTTTTGTAAAATCTTCTTCTTCACACTTGAATCATTTTCACAGGTTCAGTTTTATTCCTGATGAAGAAACGTAATAATAATAATAATAATAATAATAATAATAATAATAATAATAATAATAATGATAATTAATAATAATTAATAATAATAATGATGATAATAATAATAATAATGATGAATAATAATAATAATGATAATAGTAATAATAATGTAATAATAATAATAATAATAATAATAATGATGATATAATAATAATAATAATAATAATAATAATAATAATAATAATAATGATAATAATAATAATAATAATATAATGATGATAATAATAATAATAATAATGATGAATAATAATAATAATGATAATAGTAATAATAATAGTAATAATAAAATAATAATAATAATAATGATGATAATAATAATAATAATAATAATAATAATAATAATTAATAATAATAATAATAATAATAATAATAAACTTTTATTTTATTTCTCACCAAAGTTTTTCAAACTAAAAGTGACAAAACATTTGTTTCATGAAAATCTGAAGAAAATAGAAAAAGTGACAGAAGACGTGAAGAGAAAAGGAAGTGGAGATAAAACCTTTTGTCTTTTCATCAGGTGATTTGAAATGTTCTTCTCCGCAGACACTAGGGGGCGACACAAACTGGATCCATGGACTTTTCAAAACCTTCAGCCCAAAACAAACACCTGAAAAAACTCAAACACTTTTCCACAAGTCAAACATTTCCATCATATTTTACAAACTTCCTCCAGTGTGAAGAAGAAGAAGAAGAAGAAGAAGAACAAGAAGAAGAAGAAGAAGAAGAGCAGGAGGAGCAGGAGGTTGTGGGTTTGACTCCGAGCGGCTCCTGTTTCAGCTAAAATTACAAACAGACTCTGATTGGTCCCTGCTCCTGCCCACGGACTAAATATGGACCAGAGACCAGAGACCAGAGACCAGAGACCAGACCAGGACCAGACCAGGACCAGAGACCAGAGACCAGAGACCAGACCAGAGACCAGAGACCAGAGACCAGAGACCAGAGACCAGAGACCAGACCAGAGACCAGACCAGAGACCAGAGACCAGAGACCAGACCAGGACCAGGCCAGGACCAGACCAGAGACCAGAGACCAGACCAGGACCAGGCCAGGACCAGGCCAGGACCAGACCAGGACCAGGCCAGGATCAGAGACTAGACTGGAGACCAGAGCAGAGACCGGACCTGAAGGACCCGGTCAGAGGAGCAGGACCAAAGTAAGACTTGATGTTAAATGTTTGTCTGATCCAGTCTGGTCCTAATCCACCCAAACCCCCTGCCCCAGTCCTGGTTAGTCCTGGTTTAGACCTGGTTTAGACCTGGTTTAGTTCTGGTTTAGTCCTGGTTTAGACCTGGTTTAGACCTGGTTTAGTTCTGGTTTAGTCCTGGTTTAGTCCTGGTTTAGACCTGGTTTAGTCCTGGTTTAGTTCTGGTTTAGTCCTGGTTTAGTCCTGGTTTAGTTCTGGTTTAGTCCTGGTTTAGTCCTGGTTTAGTTCTGGTTTAGTCCTGGTTTAGACCTGGTTTAGACCTGGTTTAGTCCTGGTTTAGTTCTGGTTTAGACCTGGTTTAGACCTGGTTTAGTCCTGGTTTAGTTCTGGTTTAGTCCTGGTTTAGTCCTGGTTTAGTTCTGGTTTAGTCCTGGTTTAGTCCTGGTTTAGTTCTGGTTTAGTCATGGTTTAGACCTGGTTTAGACCTGGTTTAGTCCTGGTTTAGTTCTGGTTTAGACCTGGTTTAGACCTGGTTTAGTCCTGGTTTAGTTCTGGTTTAGTCCTGGTTTAGTCCTGGTTTAGTTCTGGTTTAGTCTGGTTTAGACCTGGTTTAGACCTGGTTTTAGTCCTGGTTTAGTTCTGGTTTAGACCTGGTTTAGACCTGGTTTAGTCCTGGTTTAGTTCTGGTTTAGTTCCTGGTTTAGTCCTGGTTTAGTTCTGGTTTAGTCCTGGTTTAGTTCTGGTTTAGTTCTGGTTTAGTCCTGGTTTAGATCTTGGTTCAGGTTCTGGTTCTGAGTCTCCAACACGAACCTCCGGGAAAAAAAAGAGTTTATGTGGCGTAAATACGACACGGTTCTGTTTGTTGGAGTCGATTCCTCTGGAGGTTCTGCGGTCGGTTCCTGTGTGTGACCTGTGTGTGTGACCTCTGTGTGACCTGTGTGTGTGTGTGACCTGTGTGTGTGTGTGACCTGTGTGTGACCTGTGTGACCTGTGTGTGTGTGTGACCTGTGTGTGAACTGTGTGTGACCTGTGTGTGACCTGTGTGTGACCTGTGACCTCTGTGTGACCTGTGTGTGTGTGTGACCTCTGTGTGACCTGTGTGTGTGTGTGTGTGTGTGACCTGTGTGTGTGTGTGACTGTGTGTGTGTGTGTGACCTGTGTGTGACCTCTGTGTGACCTGTGTTGTTGTGACCTGTGTGTGTGTGTGTGACCTGTGTGTGTATGTGACCTGTGTGTGACCTGTGTGTGTGACCTCTGTGTGACCTGTGTGTGTTGTGTGTGTGTGTGTGTGACCTGTGTGTGTGTGTGTGTGACCTGTGTGTGTGTGTGACCTGTGTGTGTGTGTGACCTGTGTGTGTGTGTGTGACCTGTGTGTGACCTGTGTGTGTGTGTGACCTCTGTGTGACCTGTGTGTGGTGTGTGACCTCTGTGTGACCTGTGTGTGACTGTGTGTGTGTGTGACCTCTGTGTGACCTGTGTGACCTGTGTGTGTGTGTGACCTCTGTGTGACCTGTGTGTGTGTGTGACCTGTGTGTGTGTGTGTGTGTGACCTGTGTGTGACCTCTGTGTGACCTGTGTGTGTGTGTGTGACCTGTGTGTGTTGTGTGACCTGTGTGTGACCCTGTGTGTGACCTGTGTGTGACCTCTGTGTGACCTGTGTGTGTGTGACCTGTGTGTGACCTGTGTGGTGTGTGGACCTCTGTGTGACTGTGTGTGTGTGTGACCTCTGTGTGACCTGTGTGTGTGTGTGACCTGTGTGTGTGTGTGTGACCTGTGTGTGACCTGTGTGTGACCTGTGTGTTGACCTCTGTGTGACCTGTGTGTGTGTGTGTGTGTGACCTGTGTGTGACCTGTGTGTGACCTGTGTGTGACCTGTGTGACCTCTGTGTGACCTGTGTGTGTGTGTGACCTCTGTGTGACCTGTGTGTGTGTGTGACCTGTGTGTGTGTGTGACCTGTGTGTGACCTGTGTGTGACCTGTGTGACCTCTGTGTGACCTGTGTGTGTGTGTGACCTCTGTGTGACCTGTGTGTGTGTGTGACCTGTGTGTGTGACCTGTGTGTGACCTGTGTGTGTGTGTGTGTGTGACTGTGTGTGACTGTGTGTGTGTGTGACCTCTGTGTGACCTGTGTGTGTGTGTGACCTGTGTGTGTGTGTGACCTGTGTGTGTGTGACCTCTGTGTGTGACCTGTGTGTGACCTGTGTGTGACCTGTGTGACCTGTGTGACCTGTGTGTGTGTGTGTGACCTGTGTGTGTGTGACCTCTGTGTGTGTGACCTGTGTGTGTGTGTGTGACCTGTGTGTGTGTGACCTGTGTGTGTGTGACCTGTGTGTGTGTGTGACCTGTGTGTGTGTGTGACCTCTGTGTGACCTGTGTGTGACCTCTGTGTGACCTGTGTGTGACCTGTGTGTGACCTCTGTGTGACCTGTGTGTGACCTCTGTGTGACCTGTGTGTGTGTGTGACCTGTGTGTGTGTGACCTTGTGTGACCTGTGTGTGACCTGACCGTGTGTGACCTGTGTGTGACCTGTGTGTGTGACCTGTGTGTGACCTGGTGTGACCTGTGTGACCTGTGTGTGACCTCTGTGTGACCTGTGTGTGACCTGTGTGACCTGTGTGTGACCTGTGTGTGACCTTGTGACCTGTGTGACCTGTGTGTGACCCTGTGTGACCTGTGTGTGTGACCTCTGTGTGACCTGTGTGTGACCTGTGTGTGACCTCTGTGTGACCTGTGTGTTGACCTGTGTGTGTGTGACCTGTGTGACCTGTGTGTGACCTGTGTGTGTGTGACCTCTGTGTGTGTGTGACTGTGTGTGACTGTGTGTGTGACCTCTGTGTGACCTGTGTGTGTGTGTGTGTGACCTGTGTGACCTGTGTGACCTTGTGTGACCTCTGTGTGACCTGTGTGTTTGACCTGTGTGTGACCTGTGTGTGACCTCTGTGTGACCTGTGTGTGTGTGACCTCTGTGTGACCTGTGTGTGTGTGTGTGTGTGACCTGTGTGTGACCTGTGTGTGTGTGTGTGACCTGTGTGTGACCTGTGTGTGACCTGTGTGTGTGACCTCTGTGTGACCTGTGTGTGACTTGTGTGTGACTTGTGTGTGACCTGTGTGTGACCTGTGTGACCTGTGTGTGTGACCTCTGTGTGACCTCTGTGTGACCTGTGTGTGACTTGTGTGTGACCTGTGTGTGACCTGTGTGTGACTTGTGTGTGACCTCTGTGTGACCTCTGTGTGACCTCTGTGTGACTTGTGTGTGACCTGTGTGTGACCTGTGTGTGACCTGTGTGTGACCTCTGTGTGACCTCTGTGTGACCTCTGTGTGACCTCTGTGTGTGTGTGACCTGTGTGTGTGACCTGTGTGTGTGACCTGTGTGTGACCTCTGTGTGACCTGTGTGTGACTGTGTGTGACCTGTGTGTGACCTGTGTGTGACTTGTGTGTGACCTGTGTGTGACCTGTGTGTGACCTCTGTGTGACCTGTGTGTTTGACCTGTGTGTGACCTGTGTGTGACCTGTGTGTGACCTGTGTGTGACCTGTGTGTGACCTCTGTGTGACCTGTTGTGTGTGACCTGTGTGTGTGACCTCTGTGTGACCTGTGTGTGACCTGTGTGTGTGTGTGTGACCTGTGTGTGACCTGTGTGTGACCTGTGTGTGACCTGTGTGTGACCTGTGTGTGACCTGTGTGTGACCTGTGTGTGTGTGTGACCTGTGTGTGTGTGACCTGTGTGTGACCTGTGTGTGTGTGTGACCTGTGTGTGTGACCTCTGTGTGACCTGTGTGTGACCTGTGTGTGTGTGTGACCTGTGTGTGTGTGACCTGTGTGTGACCTGTGTGTGTGTGTGTGACCTCTGTGTGACCTGTGTGTGTGTGTGACCTGTGTGTGACCTGTGTGTGACCTGTGTGTGACCTGTGTGTGACCTGTGTGTGACCTGTGTGTGACCTGTGTGTGACCTGTGTGTGTGTGTGTGACCTGTGTGTGTGTGTGACCTGTGTGTGACCTGTGTGTGTGTGTGACCTGTGTGTGACCTTGTGTGTGTGTGACCTGTGTGTGACCTGTGTGTGACCTGTGTGTGACCTCTGTGTGACCTGTGTGTGACCTGTGTGTGTGTGTGACCTGTGTGTGTGTGTGACCTGTGTGTGACCTGTGTGTGTGTGTGACCTGTGTGTGTGTGTGACCTGTGTGTGTGTGTGACCTGTGTGTGACCTGTGTGACCTGTGTGTGACCTGTGTGTGACCTGTGTGTGACCTGTGTGTGTGTGACCTGTGTGTGACCTCTGTGTGACCTGTGTGTGACCTGTGTGTGTGTGTGTGACCTGTGTGTGACCTGTGTGTGACCTGTGTGTGTGTGTGACCTGTGTGTGTGACCTGTGTGTGACCTGTGTGTGTGTGTGACCTCTGTGTGTGACCTGTGTGTGACCTGTGTGTGACCTGTGTGTGTGACCTGTGTGTGACCTGTGTGTGACCTGACCGTGTGTGTGACCTGTGTGTGACCTGTGTGTGACCTGTGTGTGACCTGTGTGTGTGTGACCTGTGTGTGTGTGTGACCTGTGTGTGTGTGTGACCTGTGTGTGACCTGTGTGTGACCTGTGTGTGACCTGTGTGTGACCTGTGACCTGTGTGTGACCTGTGTGTGTGACCTGTGTGTGACCTGTGTGTGTGACCTGTGTGTGACCTGTGTGTGACCTGTGTGTGACCTGTGTGTGACCTCTGTGTGACCTGTGACCTGTGTGTGACCTCTGTGTGACCTGTGTGTGACCTCTGTGTGACCTCTGTGTGACCTGTGTGTGACCTGTGTGTGACCTGTGTGACCTGTGTGTGACCTCTGTGTGACCTGTGTGTGTGACCTGTGTGTGACCTGTGTGTGACCTGTGTGTGTGACCTGTGTGACCTGTGTGTGACCTGTGTGTGACCTGTGTGTGTGACCTGTGTGTGACCTGTGTGTGACCTGTGTGTGACCTGTGTGTGACCTGTGTGTTTCCCGCAGATGGCGCTGTCGCAGATCCTGCCGTCTCTGTTCCTGTCCGGGGCGGACGGGGCTCAGAACGCGGCGCTGGTGTCGAGGACGGGCATCACGCTCATCGTGAACGTGACGTTGTGTCACTCGTCGCCGCCGCCGCCCGGGGTGGAGGTGCTGCGCGTCCCCGTGTCCGACCTGCCGTCGGCGCCGCTGCACCGACACTTCGACCGCGTGGCCGAGCGTATCCACGGCAACAGCGGCAAAACGCTGGTGCACTGCGCGGCCGGGATGAGCCGCTCGCCGGCGCTGGTCATGGCGTATCTGATGAGGTTCAGGGGCGTGTCCCTGCGACAGGCGCACGCCCTCGTCAGGGAGCGCCGCCCGCTCATCCGCCTCAACCGCGGCTTCTGGCAGCAGCTCCTCGTCTACGAGAAAAACCTGTACGGGACCAACAGCGTCCGGCTCGCCGACGAGGAGGAGGAGCTCCGCCCACAGCAGCTCCGCCCACAGCAGCTCCGCCCACAGCAGCTCCGCCCACAGCTCGAGCTCAGGACCAAAGACGCAGTCGCCGCGGCGACCAGAGGTCACCAGCTCCTCCCCCTCAGGCCCCCGCTGACCTCTGACCTCAGACCCTCTGTGACCCCGCCCCTCTCCCCCCTCAGACTCCCCCCCTCCCCTCTCCTCTCTCGACGAGCGGCTCTAAGCTCCGCCCCTCTCTCGCCGCGGCTCAGGGGGGCGGAGCTTATCTCTCACAGGAAGTGCCTGGGGCCGGTCCCGCCCACTCCACCGCCGAGACGCAGAAAGTAACAGGCCCCGCCCCCTGAGACACAGCCCCGCCCCTGAGGACACAACCCCACCCCCTGAGGACACAGCCCCGCCCCCTGAGGACACACCCTAGACACAGCCCCCCCCCTGAGGACACAGCCCCGCCCCCTGAGGACACAACCCCACCCCCTGAGGACACAGCCCCGCCCTGAGGACACAACCCCCCACCCCCTGAGGACACAGCCCCGCCCCCTGAGGACACAGCCCCGCCCCCTGAGGACACAGCCCCACCTCCTGAGGACACAGCCCCGCCCCCTGAGTTCCACGGTGACGTTGTGAGACTCTGAGGTTTAACGGGTCAAAAACGTCTGAATAAAATCTGACGTTTTTGTTTCTCGTGTTTCACATTAGCGTTAGCATTAGCGTTAGCATTAGCTTGTTTACATGTGAGTTTCAGCTGAAACTGAAATCAACGACTCGAAACATTCACCCCCCGAGTCCGACTCAGACTATGACCTGAGTGACCTGAATGTGACAGAAGTGACCTGAGTGTGACCTGAGTGACCTGAGTGTGACCTGAGTGACCTGAGTGACCTGAGTGTGACAGAAGTGACCTGAGTGTGACCTGAGTGACCTGAGTGTGACCTGAGTGACCTGAATGTGACAGAAGTGACCTGAGTGTGACAGAAGTGACCTGAGTGTGACTGAAGTGACCTGAATGTGACAGAAGTGACCTGAGTGTGACAGAAGTGACCTGAGTGTGACCTGAGTGACCTGAGTGTGACTGAAGTGACCTGACTGTGACAGAAGTGACCTGAGTGTGACCTGAGTGACCTGAGTGTGACTGAAGTGACCTGAGTGTGACTGAAGTGACCTGAGTGTGACAGAAGTGACCTGAGTGTGACCTGAGTGTGACTGAAGTGACCTGAATGTGACAGAAGTGACCTGAGTGTGACTGAAGTGACCTGAGTGTGACAGAAGTGACCTGAGTGTGACTGAAGTGACCTGAGTGTGACAGAAGTGACCTGAGTGTGACTGAAGTGACCTGAGTGTGACCTGAGTGACCTGAGTGTGACAGAAGTGACCTGAGTGTGACAGAAGTGACCTGAGTGTGACAGAAGTGACCTGAGTGTGACTGAAGTGACCTGAGTCTTATTTATTTCATGTTTTTCATATTTTCAGGTGTAAAATATAAATATTTCCTCAGTGAGTTCATTTTGTTTTATTTCTATTAAATTATTTTCATTATTTTTATTCTATTATTATTTTCATCAAAGTAAATGAACAAAACAAAACTCTTGGACAAAAACGTTTGGTTAAAATGGACAAACTTTATATTTCTGTCGAGGTTTAAGTTTCCTGAAGTTTTTGTTAGAATTGTTTTGATTTTATTTTTTCTTACACTTGTCTTTAAATATTGTTTTCATAATGTTTTGTTTTGTATTTTATTTGTTTTGTGTTGCTGATTTATTGTTTAACCCTTGTGCCATTCTTCAGATCAGCCCAGTATATTGTAATAATAATGATATTATTATTTACTACTACTACTACTACTACTACTACTACTACTACTACTACTACTACTACTACTACTACTACTACTACTAATAATAATAATAATAATAATAATAATAATAATACATGGGCTAAACATGGGCTAAACCAGGACTCAACCTGGAGTAAACATGGGCTAAACCTTTGCTATTACTTTTTATTTATTTTGTATCTACTTGACTATATTTGCCGTAATAAAATTGGGTAAAAGGTTTATGGAGGAGATTGATGAAAGCAGTGTGATCAAACCATTCAAATGTTGTTGTTATAACTTCTTTCCCTAATTTAGGAGTTCACTTTCATTTTTAACTACACCAAAACCGTAATTTCATAAAGAAAAACAACAACAACAACAAAACAGTGAATGAATAATCAGCGTATGATCCTGCCTGGTCAACCCAGTGTTTGTCCTGTAGGTGGCAGTAATGCGCCTTATCTACGCATGTCCACTTTTAAGGCTACTTCCTATGAATTTTACAGCTAAAACAAAATGCTCCATTTGTTTGTATTAAATTAAATTAAAACATTTAAGCATTGAACAGAAAATAGAAGTTAGGCTGTATCCCACTGGTTTCCGCTGCGTCTTTGGCGATAAACAGCGTCTGAACACAACCGCGATCGCAATGAGGTGACGTTTCCTTTCTAGAGACACGTTAAACATAAAAAATAGCGATATGCATTCGTAAACGTGATTTCAAAATATTCGTAGTACTTTAATCAAATACTGAGTCACGCTTTACGGTTTAGCGCTTAAATATATACTTGTGTTTGTGCCGAGTGGTCTAAGGCGCCAGACTCAAGGATAATCTCCTTCCTTCCGTAGAAAAACGGGACTTCTGGTCTCCGACTGGAGGCGTGGGTTCGAATCCCACTTCTGACACATACCTTTTCTTGACTTCAGACACATAAATCTAATACTGTCTTTTGATTTACGATGTAATAATTTGTACATATATATTTAAAACCTGACTCGCCCGTAGTGACCAGGGACCCTCAGCATCTCGCGCCTGCGTGCGAGACGCGGGCCGATCATTGCCGCTTGCGGCTATTTATTATTATTATTATTATTATTATTATTATTATTATTATTATGCATAATAATGATCAAAAGTGCATATTGTTGGTACTGCAAAACTGTTACAAGTTGTAAAATTATTCATATATATATTTATTTATTTATTTTTATTTTTTTTATTACACTTTGTTACACATACAAAAGGTTAAAAACAAAGAAAATCATTTATTGGAGATTGAATTACAACACATCTAAATAATAATATGCACATGAAATGACACAAAGGCTGTGTCCCAATCCGCGGGCTGCAGCCTCTGAAGGCTGGTTTTAAGGCCGCATACGTCACTTCCGGTGAAACAAGGCCTGTTCCATTTCATTTTTATGTCATGCAGCCTTCAAATGCAGCCCTAAAACCGACCTCGTTTCCATGGAGATGGGGCCGCGAACGGAGGACACATCCGAGTATCCTTCGCAGCCTTCAGTATCCCAGCATGCACCGCGCGGCGCCAGTCACATGTTCAAAAACACAGAGCAAAAAGCCGGTCCCGAGAGCGGAGAAAAACATGTGAGTACACTTTTAACTTTAGGAAATCATTACTAACACAACTGTAAACGTAAAATACGACCATAACTCCCACAAAACTGTCAAATAAGTTTGTTTTTAACTGCGTGAACCGCGGAGTTTTGAGCTAAAGTTTGCCTAGTGATGTGCAGCTAATGCGATGAAAAAGTCCGCTCAAACTTTCATATTTGGACACATTTCCATCAAACACTCATCATGTTTTTACTGTTAGGGGAAAAGAAGCCCACAGATGATTTAAAGAAGCTACGAGGAGAAAACTCCACGTTTTCACGGACAGTGTAAACATGTAAACAGTTGGTCAGTGTAGCTCGGAGTTAAGATGAAAACACACATTATTTCATACATTCAACTGAAAAGACTCAGTCTGACTCTATCAAAGCTCATATTTACTTGTAAATCACATCATATAAACGTCCAACGTGTGCATTTCATTCAGGGAAACATGATCTGCTTTAACAATCTGTGCATGTTTGTAAAGTGAAGAGTAAATAATCCTGCCTGGACACGTCACATTTATGATGGACATGAGGCTCGTTTAACAGATCTGTGCAGACACTGGTGTAGATACGACCTGGTGTAGATACGACCTGGTGTAGATACGACCTGACTGTGTCTGTTAGGTCTGTCACATCTAATGTTATAACAATGAGAAATCTGTTTTACATGAATTTTCTTTTCTCATCTGCAGCCTCCTGTATGAGGACACGACACACTGCAGGGGCCACAGAACTGTTGACTGACAAGATGCTTGTGATTCATAAAATGGGTCAAATGCAGATGACAAAGTAAAGCCAACACTGAGCTGGAGGTGCTGACCCAGACTCCTGCCAACGATTAGGTCTGGGGCATGTTACATTGAAAATTGTACTAATAAGAGCTGCAAATGAATCATGCTCATGTTGAAATTATGATTTAAATTGTGAAAATATGTATTTCTCAAATGTGTGGGATTCCTCTGTTCATTTATCTGTTTCAGATATAAACTGCCTTTGAATCTGAATGTACATCAAAGTTTAAGTTCAACGTTAAAATAGTTTATTGTCAATTCTTCATACGAAAAACATATAAAGAAATCGAAATTGTTTTTCTCACTTCCTTGTGTATAAATAAATAATAATAAATGTAAATAGTGCGGGGGGAGTCCAGGTGTTCTTTGGGGCTGCAGGTTCTGTCAAACTTTTTTTCCTCAAAGTCTTATGTGTTTCATACAGGTTTTCACTGCAGGACAGAACTTTGTTAGTTTTGACCATCTGAGTGTTTCAAATGTGTTGTCAATTACTGTCCAGGTTTCCAGGACAGGTTCCACTGTCCATGTCCATGTCCTGTCCATGTCTCCAATGTCCATCCAGTCTCCACTGTCCAGACATGTCTCCATGTCTCCATCCATGTCAATCCAACGTCTCCACTGTATGTTCCATGTCCTCACTGTCCATGTCCACTGTCCATGTCTCCATGTCCATGTCTCCATGTCTCCATCATGTCCACTGTCCATGTCCATGATGTCCATGTCCATGTCCATGTCTCCAAGTCCATGTCCATGTCCATGTCCAGTCCCCACTGTCCATGTCACTGTCCATGTCTCCACTGTCCATGTCTCCACTGTCCATGTCTCCAATGTCCATGTCCACTGTCCATGTCTCCACATGTCTCCACTGTCCATGTCTCCACTGTCCATGTCCACTGTCCATGTCCATGTCTCCACTGTCCAGTCCATGTCCACTGTCCATGTCTCCATGTCTCCACTGTCCATGTCTCCAATGTCCATGTCTCCTGTCATGTCTCCACTGTCCATCCATGTCCATG